GCGTGCAGCCAGCAGCAACAGCCTGGTTGATCAGGCTCTGATCCACCAGGAGGCCTGGTCACAGACCGGGCCGCGGGGGCGTTGACCCCCGGAACTCTCTCCAGGTAAACTCCAGGTAATGCCATGAGTTTATGCTGGCAAGAATAGTTCAGTTGATCAAGTATGTAAGTATAGCGATACGAATAAATTAATGGTATAAATTATTTACGCGTGTAAATTGTATACAATTAATACAAGTGTAAATTTAGTTATCTGCTACATATCGGACACTAGGTGTTGTACATGGTCAGTCAAATAGTACAATTGATAATAAAACACACTAAACATCTAAGTAATTGGTAGGTAGGTATTAGGTTTGTCAGGAAACAGGACGAGTGTTTACTGACGCGGGTCTTAGTCATATGATGACCCACAGCTGGAGCTGTTGGTCATCTGACCGAGACCTTCAGCTGGCTTACCGGTCTCCTCTTTTAAAAAAATATGGTTATAATTATAACTATTGTATTATCTGATTTAAGCTATCTAGGTATTTCTTAGTAAGTGTTATTTTATCTTATAAATACTGATGATCATTGTTGTCAAATGATTGAAAAAATAAGAGGCTTACTCTTACTTTATTGATTCTGTACCTTGTTCGATTAACAGGAAAATCTATTTTTAAAGAGGATTATTATGTTCAACAGAAGGAACAGAGATTTCGATCTACCTGTTGGTTTATTAGTATAAAATCTATCGACTACATGAAGCTCATTAAGGCTGCATATCACCTGCACACCACCAGTCGAGAATATTTCACTCCCAAAAATATGGATTAAAGGATTAATGTAAACTGAGAACTATACAACTCTCAGTGTATATATACTTGATAAAAAAAAAATCAGGAATTCATATCCTAAGGGTTCTGATACTGTCAGTGTGTAAGAAAACTCCAGACTTGCAGGAAGCAGTCAAATATGCCAGAAGTATTCATTTAATGTGGTATATCTAATAATATGTTCACAAAAAAGACGCTAAACCTGTGTGGGTTCTAATGCGAATAATTATTTAAGAAATCAGCAATGTGTACGTAGCGTAGCCTGGCGTCCTCCACCACCCAGGGTCCACTGCACTAACCTGGTTCAAGGTCTCACTCACTTCATGCCCTTGATACTGGCGAAGGGCTCTCGATTCCAGGAAATAGAGCTACTTTAAACTTGACTGCATTAAGCCAAATTACCTCTCATTCCCCAGGCGTTGTAAGACGCCTGTGCTTTTAGGTTGGTTAATGTGGTTTAAGAAAGCTTATCGACTACAAAAAATGGTTATAACTATGACCATAATTTTTAGAGGGGGTGGACCGGTAAGCCAGCGGAAGGCCTCGGTCAGATGACCAAAAGCTCCAACGGCGGGTCATCATATGATTAAGACCTGCGTCAGGAAACACTTGTCCTGTTTCCTGACGAACATTACCAACCATTATCGACTACACAATAGGCTGCGTGTAGCCTGTTTACCACCAGTCAAGGACACTTTGATCCCTAAAATAAAAACTGTAAACTGTATATATACACGCTGAAATATACACCTTACTGTATGTACGGTAAGGCTCGGACGATGCCAATTTTTTTTTTTACTGGTGCCGATACTATTTTAGGCTGATCCGATACCATCAAAATTGTCCAATATTGCAGTTACTCTGGCACATCCTTAATATACAGTATACAGGTTTACCGCTTCTCTGTGAACAAAATAAAGGTACGCTTTCGTCTCTGTGCTGTTCAGTATATACTTTTAGCTTTTTTAGCTAGTATCTACGGTGTTATGGTATTAGATATATAAGTTAAATTATTAAAATGTTTCAGCAATTGTAATTTAACTATATTACTCGATTAGTTAATAAAGCGTGATTTCCGATTTCTTCATATAGGACAAGGGTATATACATCGAAAAGTATATCAGTGTATTTATGCTATGGAGGTTACTTTAATCCCTGTTGAGGAATTAAAGTAATCTTGACTGATGGCGAACAGGTGACATGCAGCCTTGATGACCTCGTGTAGTCCAGTGGTTTTAAACCTAATAAACCAACCATATAGCTCAAATGGTATATACATCGAAAGATGTATATCTGTGTATATATACAGTTTAATCCCAAATTTGGACACTGAAGAGTTGTTCGCTGATGGTGCCGAGGTGAATTACAGCCTTAATGGCTTTTAACAAATACCAATTAGGTAACATTACGAAGCCCTTGTTAACTAATAATACCGGGTAATAATACAGCTACATCACAGAAACCTTAATGCCTCCCATTTCTCCTGGCTCTGTATGACCCCTACAAGTCCAGCGCTTTACCTATGAATATAGTAATAAAAATTCATGAATATAAATAAATCATGAGTTTACCATGTATGAAGCTTGGCGAAGGCTAACATCATCGTACACCTGCAGGATATCCTCTCCTGCCACCAAACCAGTACCTGTTGGGGCACCAGACTTTCCTTCAGTATAATAGGAATAAGAACACGTATAATCAAGTTAAGCGTTAAACCCGGAGTCATTCAGCATTATAACAATAATGCCCAATGGATTTTCTTTTTTAAGTCAACTACAAATATAATTCGGGTGCACACAAACGCTACAAGCCCACACTTGATGCACTACTACCACGTACTATACTCTAATTACCTGGAGTTTACCTGGAGAGAGCTCCGGGGGTCAACGCCCCCACGTCCCAGTCTGTGATCAGGTCTCCTGGTGGATCAGAGCCTGATCAACCAGGCTGTTACTGCTGGCTGCATGCAATCCAACGTACGAACCACAGCCCGGCTGGTCAAGTACCGACTTTAGGTGCTTGTCCAGTGCCTGCTTGAAGACAGCCAGGGGTCTATTGGTAATCCCCCTTATGTATGCTGGGAGGCAGTTGAACAGTCTTGGGCCCCTGACACTTATTATATTGTCTCTTAATGTGCTAGTGACACCCCTGCTTTTCATTGGAGGGATGTTGCATCGTCTGCCGAGTGATCTAACTCTCAGTAAGCATATGTATAATTATATACCGGTACCTATATAGGTTTCTGGCCGTCTTCTTGTCATCAATGTCGAGGTTGGGAGACTACTCTCTCCCGTCTTCCCATCGGCCACACTCGGGAGACTACTCTCTCCCGTCTTCCCATCGGCCACACTCGTCTTAGTCACGGGTATCTCATGGAGAGGCGTCCTGTTCCTCTCTCTGAGAATTGTCAAGTTCCAGAATCTGTTAGCCACATTCTGTTGGACTGCCCACTCTATCAACGAGCACGCAGAATTTACCTCCAACGTCATCTCCGCTCTGCTACCCTTTCTTTACCTTCCCTTCTTGCTGATGGACCTTCCTTTAATCCGGACTCTCTCATTGACTTTTTGACAGCAACTGATTTACTCCATAAGCTCTGATGATGATACCTTTAGCACTCCCCTCAGTCCTTTCTACATCAATCTCTTGCTACCCTCTACACCTGCACTATCCACTGCCCCGCTGTACGCCATACTCAATCATCCCTCTCCCTCTTGCTACCCAATACTCTCACATCCTTATCTGCCCTCCAACGCTGTAAAACCCTTGTGGTTTAGCGCTTCTTTTTTATAATAATAATAATAATAATAATAATAATAATAATAATATCGGTACCTACTATATTCTTATGAAGGAGGGGTGGGGATATTTGCGGTTTTGAACAATAGCATCGGTACACCTCTGGCAACACAGTGATGGAGTGATTGATGGTGAATGTTTCTTCTTTTTTTGGGTCACTCTACCTGGGTGTGGGGTCGCATCCTGCGGGACAAGATTGAGGACCCCACTGGAAATAAGACAGACAGTCCTTTGATGACGCACTGACTTTCTTGGGTTATCCTGGGTGGTGTTAAAAAATCCGAACAAAATCTTATCTTAGAAAAATAAAAAATAAAACCCAAGGGAAGCTATAGATGCATTGGAATAGCGTAGGCAGTATTTTCCATGGCTTTTGCATTCATGGTGACGATTTTTAAAGAAACATGGGCTCAAGATGGCTGGTATAGACATTGCAGCACAATAACCCCCAAAAGGGTCATACAGCAGTCCTTTAATAAAAGCCAAGTTCCCGGGAATGATCGAGTGGATGTGGCTGCTGTCTTCCTTCCAGTGTAGAAACTTGGATTCCATTTTGAGCCGAAACAGGTAATATACACCAAGAGGTGTATTTCTCTCAGTGTATAGATGCTGAGTTTACTTTAATCCATATTTAAGGGATTAAAATATTCTTTACTGGTTATGTAAAGTTTACCGTGCAGCTTTTATAACTAGTGTAATTGATAGGCTTTGAACTCCATTAACCAACCCTCCGTAATGAGTCAGCCGGTTTTTAGTATGTTCCACAATTATAGTCTTCTGCAGCTGACTAAACTGCAGCTAGTTAGTTTAATATCTTTATTATGCACCCCATACCCATGGTGTGGGCGGTAGTCAAAAGATTACAGAGGCACATAATGGGTCCAGGGACTGGGCCGCAAAATTATGGTAACTAAACAAGTTATAGTGGTAATGTACTGTTTATGTTTATATCTGGTTATATAATGCAGTGCTGTATGACCTATGTGGGTTTAGCACTTAGTTTTGATTGTAATAAATACTACTACTACTACTACTACTACTACTACTACTACTACTACTACTACTACTACTACTACTACTACTACTACTACTAACATATCTAGTTAAAAATTATAAAAGAAAATACGCCAGTCACTTAAAGAGAAAAAGGATGCAATTGTTTTAACTTAGCGAAAATCACTTCTGGTAACTATAACAAAATAAACCCAGAAGATTACTGGTGTCATAAACTGAGTGCAAAATAAAACAAGCTAAGGAGTGGAAACAAGGTCACTTAGATTATTACCATTACCTGGTGTGGAGGAAGTTGAGAGGCCCTCTTCCTCCAGGCAAGCACCAGGTAAATTAATACTGCCACAGGAAGCAACACCTTGACCAGTACCAGGAAATCTGTATTAATTGGTAGAATTACCGACAATATGTTAGGTAAAAGGACACAAGTGCAGCTAATGTGACATTTTATTGTGGCAACATTTCGCTTTATCTCCTGGACAGCAAAACGTTGCCACAATAAAATGTCATTAGTTGCACTTGTGTCCTTTTACCTAACCTTGAAGTCTAGGAGACACCAAGAATTCCAGTTATGCCAAAATGGATAGTGCCACCCAGGATAATGCTGGGTCTTATCAGTTGGAGATTCAGCTGCTGGGAATCTCCTGAATTTGGAAATAAACTTCAGGAAAATAAATTCTGGAAATAAACCTGAAGAAAAAAAAAATTTTCTTGAATATACATCTTTTGCAATCGAGGTGTGTGTCTGGATCACCAAAGAGCTCATTCTCTCGAAGAACTGATTTAGGTCTTTGGTGGCCATGTCATCATCCCAGTGTATCGCTAAGTTCACAATTTATTGGGTCCCAGTTATTGAAGTTGAGTCAAGGAAGGGAAGAGTAGCTCCCTTTAAGTCCAAGAGTATTTACCAGCATCAAGACACCTGCGTGAATGGGTTTTGTGCCTGAGAGTTCATTCTCCCCTAAATTGTTATTGTATTTATTTTCTTCTATACGTACAGTACTTATATTTTCTTTTAATCGTGTGGCTTACCCGTCTTACTTTTAAATGCATTCATTAAAACTTTCTGTAGTGTTAATATTTTTCCCTTCCATTCCTCATACATCAAGATGTCCTGTAGCTCGATTGCTAGCTCACTCGGCTCTCACACAGGTCTGTGGTTCGATCCTCGGTGTGGGTGGAAACAATGGAACGTGTTTCCTTAAGGCACCTGCTGTCCCTGTTCACGTATCAGTAAAATAGCCCCTCATAGAAGGTTTCTTGATGCTGGTGAGGGGCTCTTGATCTAGGGAATTAGATTTGTACTCCAGTTCCCTGCATTAAGCCTGAATACCTTCCGCATCCCACCCACAGGCGCTGTATAATCCTACGTGTTTAGCTCTCCCCCCTTAATAATAATAATGAGTAAAATAGGTACCTAGGTGTTAGTCAACTGTGTGGATCACATCCTGGATGAAAAAAATTGACCTAATTTACCCGAAATGCTCTGCATTTCTATATAGTAGTACATATGTCATTGATGTTAGCTAGGTCTGTATTCATTGTGCTACTTGTAGAAATAAAGATTATTATTATTAACATTGAACACATTACACTTACAGACATAGTGTATCTTCGTATTGGAGTCAACAGTATTTGCAAAAGAGAGGATTTTTTTTTTTCAACAAGTCGGCTGTCTCCCACCGAGGCAGGGTGACCCTAAAAGAAAGAAAAACCCCAAAAAGAAAATACTTTCATCATCATTCAACGCTTCCCATCACTCATACATAATCACTGTTTTTGCAGAGCTGCCCAGATACAACAGTTTAGAAGTACAGTGGACCCCCGCATAACGATCACCTCCGAATGCGACCAATTATGTAAGTGTATTTATGTAAGTGCGTTTGTACGTGTATGTTTGGGGCTGTGAAATGGACTAATCTACTTCACAATATTCCTTATGGGAACAAATTCGGTCAGTACTGGCACCTGAACATACTTCTGGAGTGAAAAAATATCGTTAACCGGGGGTCCACTGTATATATAAAGATAACACATCCCTCCAAACTGCCAATATACCAAACCCCTCTTTTAAAGTGCAGGCATTGTACTTCCCATTTCCAGTACTCAAGTCCAGCTGTATAAAAATAACTGGTTTCCCTGAATCCCTTCACTAAATATTACCCTGCTCACACTCCAACAGCTCGTCAGGTCTCAAAAATCATTCCTCTCCATTCACTCCTATCTAACATGCTCACGCATGCTTCCTGGAAGTCCAAGCCCCTTGCCCACAAAACCTCCTTTACCCCCTCCCTCCAACCTTTTCGAGGACGACCCCTACCCCGCCTTCCTTCCCCTCAGATTTATATGCTCTTCATGTCATTCTGTTTTGATCCATTATCTCTAAATGACCAAATCACCTCAACAACCCCTCTTCAGCCCTCTGACTAATACTTTTATTAACTCCACACTGTCTCCTAATTTCCACACTCCAAATTCTCTGCATAATAAATAATAAAAAAATACATTCTTACATTCTTTAATTATAGTGTTTGTGTTACAGAAGGTGAAGGTGTGAAGAGAAAATAAGGGAGACCTCAATAAGCCATCATGAAGACCAACGCAGCAGAGTACTTCAATAGCCTCTCGCCGCTTAAGAGTTAGTTCTGCTTTGTTTTTGACTTCTACAGTACTTGTTATAGCCTTACAGATCATTTTCCAGTCTCCAGACACATCAACAGAAAGCTCATTTATTGAAATCTGCATCTAAATGCAAGTCATAAACAGTGGTCAGAGCCACAAACAAACACACAGAGACAGTAAAACAAAATGTAAGATGAGTACAGTAAATTATGGCCTAACACATAAGTCCCCTTCATTCTAGTATACAATGTAAGTTATGTGCCATATGTTATGATACATGCACTGAGTCAGGTGGAGGAACTAGCACAGGTACAAGACAAGTGACTTTAAAGTAGTTAGTTATAGTATCAGGTGTCCACCGATCTTATGAAATGCTGAAATTGGGTTATGATATAATGCTGGCAATTAAGGATTTTGTGGTTTTTACTTGCAATTCGCTTTATAAATCATAGTCACAACTTGCCAGTTAATGTGGTGGTTATGAGTCTTAATATGCCAGAAAATTGCCAAACTGTCTTGTGCATAGCTAATAGACCTGTGTTCAGTTACTCTGTTGCATAAAATTCTACCTGTTTGTGATTAGAGATTTTATTTTTTTATGTTCTTACAGTCATTATCAAGAGAAAACATGTCAGTGGAAACATAAACTAGGTGAGCACAATAGAATTTAGTCTACAAGCTCTTTTTTTTAGGTGCATCCAAGTCAGGGCTCATCATTGTTGTTTTACGTAAATGAGATACAGAAGTTTTCCAGCATGTTGAGAACCGTGCTCATAATATTAACTGGGAGATTGCTTCCATTGTACAGTGTATAGGAAAAATTGTATACTGTATATATTGTAAGGGAAAAAAAGCCTCAAATTGGCTAAGATTGCTTTACAATCCCATTTCATCACCTCATAAAGCCAGTGGAAACCTGATTCTATAACTGCCACTGCCCTAATGATACTTGCTATTGTACCTGTTTTGGTTCCTTCATTTGACCTGCTTCCTACACCTGGCATTGTTCCCACATCTGATTTATTCCATGGCTTTTTATATAAGGTTTATCCCATGTGCATATTTTAGCCTGCTAAATCGATCCTCTGTGTGAGGCAGTGATATACAGTACTCATTTTACCATGCTTTATCTAACCTTACATATAAAATACCATTATTTAATAAAATTAAGGAATGTGACATTAATTAAATTTTTTGGTAGAAAGCTCAGCTTGAAATGATTGGGGTTAAGTTTCTGAGAATCATGAGATGTAAGGGCGAGGATTATTTTATACCTACTGCTTACGATTGCCTAATAAGTAAGTACTTGGGTATTAGTCAGCTCTTGTGGGCTGCAACCTTAAAGGAAATAAAGCATACTACTTGGGTTATCTTAGATTGAATAAATATTGTTAACTGTATTTATAAGTGTTTAGTGTTTGCACAGCTCTCCATAAATTTGGCACAGACCTCATAGTACTCTTCCTGTGTCTCAGTCTACCAAGCTTATTTGCACATTCCCGTGGAGGAGTACCATAAACACTCCTGTATCTTTAACTTTCTTTTCCTGGAAGATGATTCTTCATTTACTGGCATACTAAGTTGTATAGATATGCCCAGTGTAGTTTTGGTGGAGGGAAAGGGATTGTTCTATAAGATAAACTGTTTAGGAGTAGGTGTGGAAGACTGACGAATTTCTGTGAGAATAAACTTTAAATGCAAAAAGTAGTAAATGAAAGCCAAATGGAAGAGGTTGTTGAAGGGTAAAAAATGTATGTGAACACATCTTATCTGCACTGGTAGTCTTTGTTCATATTGTAATTGTGCTCTTATTGATAACTTTATCTCTGTAGCGGGAGGACAGTCAGCTGGGAGCAGTCTGTATGAGGCCCATGTGCAAAATGGCAGGTCTGGCAGGTGTCACTGCTGTCCCTATGGTTACCACATAGACCTAGACTTCGTACGTTACTGTGAAATGCTCACACAGGTTTGTATATGATTTAGTTACTGCTGCTTTTTCAATATCTTTCCATGAAGAGTTGTCAGAATATCAATGTTGCTGTCAACTGTATGAATTGCATCACATGCCTATGAACTACAGTACTTCAAAATATAAAACATTTTCAAGTGCAATTCAGTATTAGCGACTAAATTCGTGTCTTGATAATGTATACAAGAACCATTTTTGGGCCATAGATTTTTTCCTTTAAATGCATTAGCAGTTCCTACATTTAGAGAAGAATAAAAGTCATAATACTGTGGCTGGAATAATAATAATAGTAATAATAATAATAATAATAATAATAATAATAATAATAATAATAATATCTATTTCTACAAGTACATGTACAAAGTATACCATCTACCTGCACTTATGAGAGGAACATTATGATGATGTTTTGGCTCATTCTGGATCATTGTCAAGCCACATATGTATGCGAATTAACTTGACAGTGGTCCACAATGGGCCAAAAAATTGTCATAAGGTTCTTCTCCTAACTGAAGGTTTTATGCTCAATCTGCATTTAGTTTTATAGATATATAAAGTAAGCATTCATTTTACATTTTCAGTACTATTTGAATTTATAAAATTTTTGAATGGTTATAATAATTTTTAAGTCCTCCCCCCCCCCACAAGAAAAGAGAGGTATAACTTACTATTCTGTAATGGACCAGTGTGTAAAGAACTACTGTATATTAATTTTGTTATTGCATAATAGTTTAGTACTATGTAAATTATTAAAGTTACTGCACTAGAAAATAATGATTTCAGTGTCTTTACTGTGTCATAAAATTGGAGTACCTGTTCTAAATACTGTATTAAATTCTTCCCTTACCTTCACCAGGGTTCCAAGAATGACAATCCCACTCTTCGGCAGCTGAAGAAATTGAAACGGGCTCGTCGCAGACAGACCAAGTCAATGGAAGTACTTCTTGGTTTGACCCCTGGAAAAGACAATGAGGCACATGAGCTGCAGCAGCTTCAAACAAAACTTGAAATTGTTAATATGAATATTCTTTTACTGTACTTATATATGTATAAATCACACTAATACAGTAAAGCGCTAAATACATTTTACCAGTTTTGCTATTCACTTACAGTATTTTTCATTAGTTCTCTGTGAACTTAGCATCACTTTGTTAGATTTATTTTTTTTATTATCTTTTGTTTTATCAAGATAAATCATTCACTTTGATCTTTGCAGATTTTTTAAAAATTTCTCAGTTCTGAATTGTATATTTTCAGGTTTTATTTGAGATACACTCTGTATAGAGAATTTAAATTTCTAATATGTTTGTATGCAAAATAGTTCATTTCATATTGTTGATATTTTGAAGTAGTATAATATACTGTACTCTATTGCTCTTAAAGAATATAATTATGTGTGCTGTGTATTAAGATGAAACACTGAAATTGTGTAAAATAGTCATAATTTTGGAGGTTTTTGGATGGTGAATTCATGAATACAAAACTTATATTTCAGTGAGATAAATGGGTAGGGAAAGAGGGGATACATTTCAGACCTCTGTGATCCCTGTACTGTTTGAGCATAGTATTACTGAAAATTTTGCCTTCTTGATTTAGTTGTACACTGACACAGATGAGTAATTTAGCAGAAATACTGTACACAGTATCCTAAACAGGTGCAGTGGTGTCAGCATTAGCATTGTGATACTGTATGTGAGTCAGTGCTAGGAGCCAAGCTTGTGGATTAAGCCAAGAATAATGAGCATTAAGATATGAAACGTAGCTCGTGTATTAGCGAATTATCTGATGTAAAACTAATGAATACTGAAGGAGTATGGTGTTTTGAGAAGATACAGTAATGTACAGATTGTATCAAAGCTAATAGAGTACAGTATATTTGAGTTATTAGGATGGCAATGCCATGTGCAGAATTTGAAGAACTAGATTCAAAGGAGGCATGTAAAAGGTGGAAAATTGTGCCATAAATAGATAAAGAGGTGGAAGTTAGGTATAGTTATACAAGGAAGTGGAAAGTCTTTTGAAATACAGTAAACTGTGATGAAAGTTCGCAGTTTTTAAAGTCTTATAGTTGTGTAGTGGGTGGGCTGTGATCAGTTATAGCACTACTGTATAACTTCCTAACAGAGACCTTGGGTATGCAGTGTGGTTAAGCTGCAACTGTGATGAGGTTGGAAACTTGCTCACATGCAGAAGTTTGCAGTGTAGTAAAGCACTTTTTGGAAGGATTGTTTGAGTGGCAACAATCAGTCACTACCATTTAAAAGATTATGCAGATAAAGTCATGAAGCAAGTGAATTTGGTATCATTATGTAGGCAGTTTAAAAATGGGAGGATTGAAGTGCCTACAAAAAAATTCCATGTGAAACCAAGTCTCTCAATAAAGGGAGTTGCTTGAGGCAGCAACACATTATAGACATGGGCAAATTGGTTAAATGGTTCTCTTTATATATTCGGTATGTTTACTGGACTTAACTGGTAGCACTGTATTTCATAATATATTTTAGGAAAAATTATTTTTTACAGTTTTGAGCAAGTTTACATAAAAAATTTTATATGTAAATTTCATGAGCATCACTATCTTATGGAGGAAATGAAATTGCCAAATCACAGAATAGGTGGGGTTCGAATCCATGTCAGGTGAGTCTTAACCCTTAAACTGTCCAAATGTAGATCTGCGTTCACGTGCGTAGTGCTCTGAACGTAGATCTATGTTTTTTACATGCTTTCAAATGGAGATAATAAAGGTTGGAGCCCTACGCACATGAACGTAGATCTACTTTTGGACAGTTTAAGGGTTAAAACTCACAGGCCAGTATGTTAACTACTGAACCAGCTTGCTTTAATAGGGTTCATCCAACTAGGTATATTTCTATACAACATAGAGAGGTTAGCATAGGCCGAACTGTGGCCACAAATGCAGGCTTATACAGACGGATTCCACACCTGCATTGCGGTGGCATGCTCTAACTAAAGTCCCTTCAAAACTGCCATCAGTCATGTTATTATAGTTTTGTGAAGAATGAAATTGCCTTTTTTTCAGATTGAGGAACCAGTAAAAGTTGACTCTCAGAGTCGAGATGTGTTGTCTATAGTAAGACGAACTCAATCTCTGCGAGAGCGAACACCACCTCCACCTCCTCCCAGGCGGTGCAGGACTCCAGTAATGTCTGGCCCACCTCCGGATGTTATTAACACCACAAACTCTAGTCCTGGGTTAAATGCTAGCTCTACTGTGGATGCTAGTGAAGCACTGCAGGTAAAAATATGCTGTGTTGAATATTTTGTATAAATCCATGTTAAAAATAAAATTTTGAGTAACATGTAAATGTACAATATTTACCATTACTCTTAGTTTATTCTTGTTCATTGTGAGCTGGAATTGATCCAGTCAGTCAAATATATTATATAAAAATGACACAGAAAGAAAAAATGAAGGTAAATTTTTAGGCCATATTATAGATTTTGTAGGTAGTAGGTTGGTAGACAGCAGCCGCCCAGGGAGGTACTACCGTCCTGCCAAGTGAGTGTAAAACAGAATCCTGTACTTGTTTTACATGATGGTAGGATTGCTGGTGTCTTTTTTCTGTCTCTTAAACATGCAAGATTTCAGGTACGTCTTGCTACTTCTACTTACACTTGGGTCGCACTACACATATACGTACAAGCATATATATACACACCCCTCTGGGTTTTCTTCTATTTTCTTTCTAGTTCTTGTTCTTGTTTATTTCCTCTTATCTCCATGGGGAAGTGGAACAGGATTCTTCCTTCATAAGCCATGTGTGTTGTAAAAGGCGACTAAAATGCCGGGAGCAAGGGCCTAGTAACCCCTTCTCCTGTATAAATTACTAAATTTAAAAAGAGAAACTTTCGTTTTTCTTTTTGGGCCACCCTGCCTTGGTGGGATACGGCTGGTTTGTTGAAAAAAAAAAAATATAGATTTAGCCGTACTTGAGTCCAGGAAATGGGAAGTGCAAACCTGCACTTTAACCCGTAAATGGTCCGAACGTATATAGTATACGTTTTTACCGCTAGTGCCCCAAACGTATATATACGTTTTATTTGTCATACATTCAACATTGCCACGATAAGCCTGAGTCGCCTAGACATGAGAGAATGGGTGTGAGCACTCACTGTGTACCATATTAAAATAATTGGGGATGCCTGGGTACTATATGCTCTTTTTTCCAATTAAAAAAAACGATTTTTGTTTCTCAAAAAAGTTGGGGAACTACAGGAGAGAACGTATATATACGTTTGGACCGTTTACGGGATAAAGGAGGGGTTTGGGATATTGACAGTTTGGAGGGACTTCTAAACTGTCATATCTGAGCTCCTCTGTAAAAATAAGACAGTGATTATGTATGAGTGAGGTGAAAGTGTTGTATGATGATGAAAGTATTTAATTTTTGGGTAAGATAAAATAAGATTTCCTTCGGATTTTTTACCCCCGAGGGTTAGCCACCCAGGATAACCCAAGAAAGTTAGTGCGTCATCGAGGACTGTCTAACTTATTTCCATTGGGGTCCTTAATCTTGTCCCCCAGGATGTGACCCACACCAGCCGACTAGCACCCAGGTACCTATTTGCTGCTAGGTGAACAGGACAGCAGGTGTAAGGAAACGTGTTGAAATGTTTCCACCCCCTGGGAATTGAACCTGGGCCCTCCATGTGTGATGTGGAATCTTTAGCCATCAGGTCACCGGGCCACTGGGGATTTTCTTTCTTTTTGGGTCACCCTGCCTTGGTGGGAGATGGCCGACTTGTTGAAAAAAAATATGTACATAATAAAGCACAGTCAACATACTTACATCCTGTGCATATAAAAAATGAAGCAAGAGACCTGTCATTGATTTTATCACAAAATAGCCAGTTGTGAAATTCTGCAGAAAATCAGAAAAATATCCTGATTAATGCTTTGTCATAGTAAATGGGGCAGTACAGGGTTGATTAGTACTATGTAAGAAATAAAATCTGAAGTGGTAGATTCTTATACCATCCACCAAAGCATATAGAGCACTGATTTATTTTGTTTTTAACACATTGGCTCTCTCCCACTGTGGTAGAGAATTCCCCCCCAAAATTAAACACATTGCCATCATTCATTCAATAGCTGTCTTACCAGAAGTTTACAGACATCACAAACTGTACCATCCCGTTAACATGACTCACGAAATCGTAATGACACGATTGCAAACAAACCATACCACAGGTGGGGATAGAACCCACGATCAGAGAGTCTCAAAACTCCAGACCGTCGCAACGGTCTGGAGTTTTGAGACTCTGATTGCGGGTTCTATCCCCGCCCGTGGTATGGGTTGTACCATCCCCTCCACACTGTAACATTCCCACCCTTCCTTCAGAGTGCAAGCACTGTGCTTCCTACTTCCAGAATACAAGTTCTTTGAATTCCTTCATAAATGTTACCTTGCTTGCACTCCAACAGTACATCAAGCCACCAAAACCACTTGTCTCCATTGACTGATCTGACAGTCACCATTCATTCCAATCTAACATGTTCACACAAGCCTGCTGGATTCTCAAACCCCTATTACTCAAAACCTTTATTCCTTCCTTCCATATATGCCCTTGAGGTCTGAATGATAGCAATGGTAGTAAAAAAAAAAAATAAGGTTGCAGTGGAAGAAGTGAGCCATTGAAGAGATTTTGCTAAAGAATAAAAAGTATGATGGGGAAAAGATAATTGTTGTGATGTTAATCCACATTTGTGCTGTCAGAATCAAGAGCAATGGAGGAAGAGTAGAGTGAGGTTGATATAAAAATTATCACAAGTTCAAGGGTCAATATAAGCTATATCACTGAAATCCTAAGATAATAATAGATAAAGGGAAGAGACAAAATCCAACAAATTTCCATGGGAACAACAAAAAGTACTGCACCTTAAAAATAACGACTGCTGAATTTGCCCGACAAAAAGAGCAAAATCAATCAATGAAGAAAGGAGTGTGTTAAGGAATAACATGAACAGCCACCACTGAGGGAAAGGTACAAGAAGCAGCTTATAACATTTACATAAATAAATGCAGACTAGTATAATTAAGGACCCAAGAGGCAAGTGAAGGAAATGTTATACTGAGCAAGAAATGCATGCTCTTTGTATCAGGTATCAGAGTAAGAGTGTATAAGTTGCAGAAAAATCAGCTAAAGAGGAAATCCTAGCATTGCAAAGATAGCTTTTTTTGTGAGCTGAAGAGCTTTAAAGAAGAAAATTGGAGAATAATTTTTTTTTTTTTCAACAAGTCGGCCGTCTCCCACCTAGGCAGGGTGACCCAAAAAGAAAGAAAATCCCCAAAACAAAAATACTTTCATCATTATTCAGTACTTTCACCACACTCATACATAATCACTGTTTTTGCAGAGGTGTCCAGATACAACAGTTTAGAAGCATATATAAGGATACAATATAAAAAGTTTCTCTTTTTAACTTAGGTAATGTATACAGGAGAAGGGGTTACTAGCCCCTTGCTCCCGGCATTTTAGTCACCTCTTACGACACGCATGATTTACGGAGGAAGAATTCTGTTCCACTTCTCCACGGAGAAAGTGCTGATGGTGTCGTGATTAAAAAAAAATTCTTCTGTAATGGTAGAGAAGCATTTTCTGAAGACCAAAAATATGAAATATAATGAAAAGCTTATGGAATTATGCAGGAGCAAAGTTAGTAGTCTGGGCACAATTTTTGCATCAACAATTTTGCCCATTTTGAGACCTATTTTAAGCCAATTCCATTGCTTAGCTTTTTTGCTGGTTTGCTTACTGTTCTGTTGAGTGAGCAGAAGAAACTATCAGAACTATCAATAATTTGGCTAATTTCACACAGAATTCAACACATTCCAGTTTAAAAACAGTCCAAAATATGCACTGTATGCATTTCAGCCACTAAAGCATCCTTTCTTTCTTTCTTTCAACACACCGGCCGTATCCCACCAAGGCGGGGTGGCCCAAAAGGAAAAACGAAAGTTTCTCATTTTACATTTAGGAATATATACAGGAGAAGGGGTTACTAGCCTCTTGCTCCCGGCATATTAGTCGCCTCTTACGACACGCATAGCTTACGGAGGAAGAATTCTGTTCCACATCCCCATGGAGACTAAAGCATCCTATCCTCTCATAACCACATCCACAAGCTTAAGAACATAAGAACATAAGGAAGAAGGAACACTGCAGCAGGCCTACTGGCCCATGCGGGGCAGGTCCATGTCAACCCCCAGCTTAGACCAATGGCCCACCCAGTCAGGTCACCTCCATTTAAGGAAGGAGCACGGCATCTGACCCAGTAGCACCACCTAGTCAGGTTCAACTCACACCCACCCACACCCACTCGTGTATTTATCTAACCCATTTTTAAAACTACACGTCTTAGCTTCTATGACGGTACTTGGAAGTTTGTTCCAATCATCCACAATTCTATTACCAAACCAGTGCTTTCCTATATCCTTCCTGAATCTGAATTCTTCCAGCTTAAGACCATTGCTGTGAGTCCTGTCTAGGCTAGATATTTTTAGCATGCTATTTACATCCCCTTTATTCATTCCCATTTTCCATTTATACACCTCGATCATTTTTTTTTTTTTAATAAGTCGGCTGTCTCCCTCCGAGGCAGGGTGACCCAAAATGAAAGAAAATCCCCAAAAGGAAAATACTTTCATCATCATTCAACACTTTCACCTCACTCACACATAATCACAGTTTTTGCAGAGGTGCTCAGAATACAACAGTTGAGAAGTATATACGTATAAATTACACAACATATCCCTCCAAACCGCCAATATCCTAAACCCTTTCTTTAAAGTGCAGGCATTGTACCTCCCATTTCCAGGACTCAAGTCCGGCTATATAAAATAACTGGTTTCCCTGAATTTCTTCACTAAATATTACCCTGCTCACACTCCAACAGCTTGTCAGGTCCCAAATACCATTCGTCTCCATTCACTCCTATCTAACACACTCACGCACGCTTGCTGGAAGTCCAAGCCCCTCGTTCACAAAACCTTTACCCCCTCCCTCCAATCTTTCTGAGGATGACCCCTACCCTGCCTTCCTTCCCCTACAGATTTATACTCTCTCCATGTTATTCTACTTTGATCCATTCTCTCTAAATGACCAAACCACCTCAACAACCCCTCTTCAGCCCTCTGACTAATACTAATTCTATGCCTTTCTAGAGAGTGCAGATTCAGGGCCCTCAGCCTGTCCTCATAGGGAAGCTTTCTGATACATGGGGTCAACTTTGTC